AAAGGGTTTGTAGGGTTTGTAGGGTTTGTAGGGTTGATAGGGTTGAAAGGGTTTGTAGGGTTTGTAGGGTTTATAGGGTTTATAGGGTTTGTAGGGTTTGTAGGGTTTGTAGGGTTTGTACGGTTTGTAGGGCTTGTAGGGCTTATAGGGTTTAGGGTTAAGGATCCAGGATCTACTTTGGAGACAGACAGGCTAAGAATCGAATAGTTCAGATGCAAGAACTTCCAAGGCTGCCTGGCAACCGGCAAGTAGCCATACATTTCGTTGGGGTGAAGGTGTTCACGTGGGGCAGTGGTGCCGCGAAAGCGCATCCAAAACAGTACGTCGCTGTTGACAACCATGGGCAGTGTGTGCAAGCGAAGTCTTGAAAGGGGCAGCACGCTTGTCGCACCTGCAGCGCCGTCAGTCTCCAGCCAAAGGTCTATATCGGCGGTGGTATTCAAGTCCGGATCACGATACTCTGTTTTGAGATGAACTTCACGATCTGATGTTCCGAAATGTGTACGAACATCACCATACTCCACAGTGAAACCGGCAGCTTCCAAGTGCCCACACAACTTCTCCACGTTCATGTTGTTCCTAGGGCGACAGAGGCTTCAGTGGGGGAAACTCCTCGGCAAACCTTGTATGGTAGACGATGAAGAAGAACATGATTATGATGATGATGATGAAGACGACCACGACGAAGTCGCGGATGGTACGATGGTGACAGAGATGGAAATGGTGGTCGTGAAAGTCGCTGAAGATGACTATGTTAATCATGGGGGCAAGGCAAGGCCGATGGCGATGGTGGTGAAGAGATGACCGGCCTGTGCCAGGGCGAAAATGCGCGCAGGCATTGGCAAGACGCACACAAGAGTCAACGAAGATGGGAGCGGCACTGGTCACGACAATCGCTCTTCATTGCAACTCTTCGAAAAGACAAGGAACGAAGGGCAAGTAAACAGTGGCAACACTGATAGCAAGCAAAACAATGACACAATGACACGTGGTCTCTGCTACTACTGTTGATGATATAAATCCTGCATTACCTTAGGGTCTTTTAAACTATGGGAATTATGATATATTCCTTACTATGGGTAATGCAGGTTTTCTGCCATCAACCGCACCCGCACTCAGAACACAGATGGTCTCGAATTGTTGATGCGAAGGTAAACGAGCAGGACGGTGCCACACACAAGTCTGCAGTGCTCGACTGTGCGCAACTTCCGGGAAACGTTTCAACATAAAACCCACTCTCTCCATTGGCCTCGCGAGCCTTTGGAATCATGTTCAAATGCATGTAGCCGAACTTCCAACGCGCAGTTCCTCCCATAAAAGAGTGACAGAGGCAAAGGGTTTGGTTCTAGCAATACTTTCAAGGGTACGCAACTGTCTTGAAATGCTTAGGCACCAACTCAGTATAGTAGAAGCCGGAAAGTTGGAACATCATTCTCCTCATGCCTTTAAGGCGAAGCATAACCCTACACCCTGAACCTTAAACCCCAAAGCCTACACCCCAAACCCCTAAGTTGCACGCGTCGTCAACCACAACACCTACAGTCGAAGCCCCTACTCGTTCAAGTGGCAGAACCAGGACCATGTCAGCATCGTAGTCCCAGGGTATCACTTCGCCTTCCGTGCTTCCCAGACGCATGAGGCTCCTTCGTCTCTTGATATGGCCCTAAAGGTATCCTTTTTGTTCCTTATCGTTTAGGGTTTGGGTTTGGAGGGGTATTCTTAGGGTGTATGTGTTGATGTTCTCTTGTTATGTGTTGATGTTCTCTTGTTGGAGGCTCGCTAAATTTTCGTTGCTTGAACCTATATTGGGTATATAGCCAGTCCTATTCTATCAGTCTAGAGTTCCGCAGACTTAGGGTTTAGGGTTCGGTGTTTCGGCAAGTTCTCAGGGTTTGGAATTCAACCCTAAACCCTAAACGCCTAAACCCTAAGCCCCGAAACCCTAAACCCTAAACCCCTAAACCCCTAAACCCTAAACCCCTAAACCCCTAAACCCCTAAACCCTGGGTGAAGTCCGGAGGGTGCGCATGCTGAGGTGTTAACATCGCGTGCATTCCCTTCGGTGTCCGAACCCTAAGGCTCCATGCAGCTGTATAGGGTTTAGGGTTTAGGGATTAGGGTTGTATAGTATGTGCTTAGGCAACTAAATTCTGTTTAAAGCTATTATAACGGAACAGGATTCTACTTAAAGTTGCTTGCATAGGCATCAAAACTCTATTTAAAGCTACTGGCTACCATACAGGAACAAGATCCCCTTCGTCCTACTTAGGAGATGTAGGTACATCGAGACTTAGGGAAAGCTCTGCTGGGTTCCCACGAGGCAAATGGGTAGTTTTCTTTTTTTGATCTTGGCCCCCTCTTTAGTTCCCAAATGTACAACACTAAACCCTAAACCCTAAACCCCTAAACCCCTAAACCCTAAACCTCATAAAAAAAAAAGGCAGCGACTCCCAGAAATTCTGGGCTTCGGAGGAGTAGTGCTAGGATTCCCCTTTACTTTGGGGGTGTGGGGATTAGGGGTTTAAGGTTTAGGGGTTTACGGGTTTAGGGGTTTACGGGTTTAGGGGTTTAGAGGTTTAGGGTTTAAGGGCACGAGGATAGAGTAGTTCCTTTTTTGGGGTTACCTTGCAGGATCCTGAACATAATAAAACTGGTTAAGTTAAACCCAAACAAGGAACTACAATTCAGACTCTAGGTAAGGCTTTGGATTTGGGGTTTAGGGTTTTGGCCCCTCTGGGTTTGGTGCTCAGCAGCTGGCTTTAGGTAGGGCTTGTGGTCTGTCCGAGACCTCCCAAAACCTTTCCGCACCCTCAAACAGAGCGGATGAGTCTTTGAAGCGTCACGGCTCTGCTAATTTTCAAGCCAAGTTCAGTGAGGTTCCGAAGATTGGCATCAGCACCGCATCTGGGCCAGCGAAGACTTCTACAACCCTCTTCAGCTTCTGCATGCCGTGCTTCCTCGGGAGGCTGCTTTCTTTGGGGGTTTACTTGGGGCCCTGTATAAACCGCGATAAAACCCGTCTACCCCGAAGATGTCGGTTGGGGCGGTTGGGGCAGCTGGGGATTTCGGATGGTTCGGGGGATCAGCCGCCTAGACGCTTGCCATCCGAATCTCAGGATCCCGCAGTGCTCAGAGGGCTTATGGAGTTCACATCTTCCCAAACCCCTGAACTCCCCCAAAGCTCTGGGGATTCAAGATCACAGGAAGCTTTTGCCTAAGTCTCTCGCCCTTTCCTGGTTTCGGGTAGGATCCTAACGAAAAAGATGAATGGCCAAAGCCCTAAGCCCTAAACCCAAACTCAAACTGACCTATAAAAACCCTTAAACCCTAAACGGCCCTAAACCGT